ATTTTTGGTAGGTACGTGTAAGTTAATTTTAATTATTTCAGAAGGAAGCACGTTGATGGTCGGGGCCTTCGTTACGCAGTAGAACTATACATATAATCGTGGCAAGTATGTGTTATGCTTGTACACAAGTTATTTCTGATGCCCCACCTTCTGGGTATGCAATCATAATTAGGCTCCCGTGGAGGCGATACGGTTCGTAATGGTCTTGCTAATCAGGCGAGTGCCTGTCCATCCGAACGAAAAAGGGTCATCAAGTGGTGGAAGAAGATGAAGAATTCGCCGGCAACTGAGCACAGAGTTTCCTCATTAGACGATAGATATCAGGCGATTGGGTAATCAAAATTAAAGATGCTGTGTTTACATAATTGGTAGCCATGAGGATTACATGAACAAGCATAGAAAGCAATACACTCGTACTTATACTCGAAAAGCTACCTTTAGATTCAGCCACATTCCGTTATGATTTTGTTACTGAATTTAAGTATTATATTTATTACAACGGTTCGTACCTACTTAATTATTATTATACCTATAGTAGTAGCTAATTAACCCACGTGCATAGATATATATTACTTATTATGTGTAAATGCTAAAGCAAGCAGGTAAATTATCAAAGACCTACTTTTCTTGTAAGACAATGCGGCGGATCACTTTGACAGTAACCGATGATGGTAAACACAAAAATGTTCTACCAATTTCTTAGTAGTTGTATCAGTTTTTAATGATTGTATAAAAGTTACCAGAATTTAAGTTCCAAAGAAGTTAAACGATAGTGTAAACAATATAAAAAGCAATGTACCACGTAGTACTTACTAAAAGGTTATGCTAATTTGGAGAAAAATAGAAATAAACATTTGATTTTTAATCGATTAAACATTTTGCAGCTAAGAAACAATAGGCTGTTGCTCAGAAATTTATATAAACTATCTGGTGAGGTCTGCGATTTCGAATTTTAGGACTCATCAGCGAATTACAAAATTTTAAATTTATTGAAGATTCATCGAATATTTATTTCGTCATGATACAAATAAGATAAAATAAAATTCTGCAACAATAATTTTTATCGTCAATAATCCCCTAAAATAATTGATATCTATGTAGTCAAGGTTGCGGCGCTCATCATGTATAAAATGCATTACATCCCTTCGTTCTTACGTACATAATGTTACGCCCCTGTTGTAATATTATAAACACGATAAAATAAATTCGTGCATCCTTTTGATCTTGGTACCGGTTCGACTAACTACTAGGTACGTTGGATACTAACATAATTTCGATAGTAGGTACACGTTCCACTCCACTTGGGGTAAAATTGATGGTAGCAAAGTGCATTCGAGAAGCGTTCGTTACGGGAATCAGATACAGTAACCGACTTATCAAATTATAGGAAACCCGTGTCCAGTCGTGACCGGACCTTTCCAGCATTATAATGTAATAACACCCTTCTGCGGGTTTTAAATTTGATTGTGAACACTATTTGGAGGACAAATGATTCGAAATTGCAGGTTGCCAGTGGAACAAGATCGCACCCAGATCACGAAATCGTAGGAACGTTATACCTATTAACAATTTGAACGAAAAGTTTTCCATCTTCTTGTCAAAGTGGAAACAATTTTACAAGAAGGTTACTCGTATATTTTTAAAATAATTCAATAAAAGTAACAAATTGTGAAAATAACTTGTTCGATAATCTTTCTGGATTTCACTATATCAAATATATGGCTCATTTCTATTACTGAATCTTTACCACTTTCAAATATTTAAACNTGGATGCACGATTTCTATAATGATACCACTGATCAAAAATAGACTACTTACTTTTTATATGATTACTATCGTCTGAATTGTTAATTTTTGAAAACAATATTTGAATTATGCAATAACTGTTAACTTTCTTAGATAAGTTCGTCTAGCATTCGTCCTGTAAACTTAGCGTCTGTCCGATAGGATTTATAACACACATTTTTATTATTTTGGTTTTATGCTTTAAAAAGCTGCTGAGCGTGCGATATTATAGGTTTCTGAACCCAAGAGAAAAATTACATATTGTTAAACCTATTCATAAAAAAAAAAGATTCACCGTTATTCCCACTGAAATAAAAGAATAGTACTCTCAGTCATTTACTCGAAACTATGTTTAATTAGTGTTTAAATTTATATTGTCTGTAGGTATATAAACTTTTAATTCGCCTATTAAATAACTAAAATACAGCCGTCAATGATTGACCTTGTAACTTTAAAAAATCGAAGAGAGATACCGTCTAACGAAGATATTTTAATTGAACGTTACCATTGGTAGTTAACATTCGCGTAACGATCTGCTAATTAAAACCGAAAACGATTAGTGCGAAACATTACCGAGGAGAGATGACCTATTAGCATTGTACTTGCCTGTTTTGTTAGTTTACAAAATCGTAAAGTAAAGATCAGATAAAACGGCTACCGATATTTTATTATCATCGAAAGATTTTCTCAGTAGGTATATCTATAGGTGAACTTTACTTGTTGAAAGTATAACGGTCTTTCACTAATCAAACGTTAACTACATTGTTTATTACATATATAAGTACTTATAATATATTCTTCGGCTAAAAATGAATTGGATTGTAATAAGAGAGTAGGATTTCTATAGATTTGCAGTAAAGATGAAACAAATTTACTTCAGATGACATTTTGGTAGTTATCAGTTATTAGTAAATTACTCTGTTCGTGGTAGAATAATAATAGTAATTATTTTTGCTTAAGTTTCGCTATTTACCGAGTCAATAATGATAAAGATTTAAGTGCAAACATTAACCAGAATGAGCATCGTCTAATACAAGTAATTTAAACAAATAGTTACTGTATGTAATAGAAACCAAGTTATTAATGTAATGGAAGTCTAAGTCATAAATATAACCAATAAAAAGGCGGGTTAAGTTTAAGGCACTTCCAACAGGCAATGGATAATAATATTCATAATATAAATAATATTGTTGTCTATTTTCATCACCTTGTAAAAAATCTGCTTGGTTCAACAATATTACTTATTTGATTATATTGCAATATTTACTGATAATTTAATGGTCTTAAAATAATAAACTTCTTCTCTAGATGTTATGATAAGTATGATAAAAGCAGAAAAACAACTGCGGTTGATGGTAAAAATAAAAATACTTTTAGGTGTTTCATTCCAGCCACTAATGCAGGCAGACGGGTATTCCCTCCGGACTACGCCAGGAGGTAAGGCGGAAGGCCCTCCAACTTCGTTTCAGGAATTATGGTAATGGGTGGGTGGTGGTTCGGGTGAGAAAGATGAGACGGACGAAATGAAGACAGAAGAGAATGAAAGATTATCTGTGGAATATTACTATCCCAGCATTTGCCTAAGTGATCCAAGGAAACCACAGAAAAACTTGGACCAAGGCAGACGGACCCGGAATCGAACCGGCNGACATGTAAGCATATGACTGTCTGCCTGTTTGTATCCAGTGGAAGAGCTAAAATATTAAAATATTCAATTTTTTTATAGAAACAAAGCCGTAAAAGAAAACCAAATTAAGTTTGCCAAGACAAGAAGAACAACTTTTTATAAACATAAACTTTTCGAGTAATTAATACCCTTCAAGAACGAATCAGTGGATTTTCACTAATTTTCACTTAATATTCACAAATAGTCACAGTTTTAACAACACTGGAATTAAATTGGAAAGAATAACGTGGAAATAAATATTCTCCAGTAAAAGACAAATAAATACGTTTTTTTCTGGTTGTAAACAATAATTATTGAATGAAACAATAAATATTATAATAGAAAAATAGTTTTAATTTCTTATTTTTTCATACTTCTGTTTTTAAAAGTTCTGCAAATTTTATATTAAAACTTGCGTAATTAGTTATATATCACACTTATTATTATTATGAATTATGTTATTAAAATATTGACGCAAGATTTCAATCTTCCAATATCGCACTATATACGTCCCACTTTCTATGTTGGTATATAGGTCATTACAACAATACAACCACTTTACTAAATCATAATATCGAAAAAAATGTTGTCTCAAACCTTATTACCAAATTTCGTGCGTTGGGAAGATCTATTGGGTCCGCAAAAGAATTTTTTGCAAATCATTCCACAGAAGACTCCAACGCTCGATCAAGCGAGTAACCCGCCGCTTGTTTATTAATAAATTCTGATAAAACGTTCAGGTAATTATATAAGAAGAAATTCTGAGCACCTAAACTCTAATAAGAAAGGGTTTTGGCCACTATGAAGACATTAAAGCATATGACTGCTTGCCTGTTTGTATCCGGTATAAGAGTTAAAATATTAAAACATTCAAATCTTCAATAGAAACATAGCCGTAATAGAAAACCAAAATAAGTTTGCCAAGATAAGAATAACAATTTTTTATAAACATAAACTTTTTAAGTAATTGACACTCTCTAAGAACGAATCGGTGAATTTTCACTAATTTTCACTTTATATTCACTAATGGTCACAGTCTTAACAACACTGCAATTAAATTGGAAAGAATAACGTGGAAACAACCATTCTTCAGTAAAAGACAAATAAATACCATTGTTTTTTTGATTGGTAATGTGACAGCGACGACAATTCCATGAAAATTTATGCATACGTTCTGTATTCATTTAGAAAGATAAAATATTTGTAAAGATTCAAATGTATGTTTTTTTATTTATAAAGTAAAATATCAAGAACTTAAATTTTTAAAGCTATTGTTTTGAATAGAAAATACATAAATGTAGAGAAGTTTTCCGAGCTTTTAAGCGTTTAAGGAAAACTACGCTAAACTACCAGCCGTGAAAGCCTACACAGTTTGAGAAAATATACATATACATGTGCATATATTTCTATTTGAAAACGAAAGATCTGGTATTCTAAATCATATGGACTCTTCAGATTACTTAACATTTTAGTAATCAGTAATACTATTTTTTAATAGAAGCAGACGTTCGCTTTACATTCTGCCTACATACATGTAGAAAGAACTCACCTGTCTCGTTGACTGCAATGTTTTTACTCCTCCCTAGAACAAAACAAAGGAATAAATTAATATCAGCAAAAGCACTTTCTAAACTTATTAATATAAAAAATAAGCCCTCCAAACGAACAACCAGAATAATGATAGAGGAGACTGTGTAAATAAATAAACAAAAGAGGCTCACCCTTAACTACTAAAACTTAACTTAATTGTGATTGTTATCAACGCGAATTGAAAAGTTAGTTGTGGTAGTTAAGGGTGAGTCTCCGTTAGTATAATTAATTTTAAGAAGTTGAAACGGTTGTTCAGCAAGGATTGCGTATGTAAAATTTCTGCATTATCGATGTAGTTACCGCAAGGTACAGCACTTGTTTTCTAACAGTTTTATTGGTCTATATTTGTGTTTAATAATTTATTAAACAGATTGCGCTAAACTATTGCCATTGATTGCAAAAGCGGTGTGAAACAGAGTAGTGTAGAAGCTAATTTTCCAAGCTCATTACACTCCGGGTGCTTTTGAAATTTCGCAGATTACTGGAACGGAACTGAAGCAATGTTATAAACATCGCAGGAAAAGTACCGACAAGTGGGTATTTACTTTAATGTGTTAAAGTGTTGGATTTATTCGAGCGGCCACCATAAAAGCTTGTGAAAGCATTGCAACGTTCCGAGACAGAGTACGGGACCCACCGATGACGGGTGTTATTGTATCGTAAAATTTCATTGCTTAAAAAGTGACCATTTTACGCAATCATTCCGAGGGTTTAAAACGTTATTCTTATACGTACATGCATATATACAGAAGACCAATTGAATTGGCGATTATAAAAGGTATGGTTTGCATAACCTATTACCATTGGGTACAAATACAGTCCAGTCCATTGCTAAGGCAGTTCTAATAGTAAATAATGCTAAAGTTAATTATCGCGTTCCACATTGTTATTTTCACTCCGTGAATGTTTAAATTTACAATTAGTTATGTCACATTTAACTTTAATGTTAAATATGATTTTAAAATATTGACGCAAGATTTCTGTCTTCCAAAATCGTAGGTAGGTACCTAACGTCTCACTTTCTACGTTGATTTAAAAGTCATTACAACAATACAACCACTTTACTAAATCATAGTATCGCAAAAAATATTATATCAAACCTTATTGCCAAATTTCGGGCGTTTGGAAGATCTGTTGGGCCCGCAAAAGAATATTTTACAAATCATTCCACGGGAGACTCCAACGTTCGATCAAGCGAGTAACCCGCTGCTTGTTTGTTAATAAATTACAATAATACGTTCAGGTAATTATATAAGAAAAAATTCTAAGCTCCTAAACTCTAACAAGAGAGCGCTTTGGCGATTATGAAGACATGTAAGCATATGACTGTCTGCCTGTTTGTATCCAGTGGAAGAGCTAAAATATTAAAATATTCAATTTTTTTATAGAAACAAAGCCGTAAAAGAAAACCAAATTAAGTTTGCCAAGACAAGAAGAACAACTTTTTATAAACATAAACTTTTCGAGTAATTAATACCCTTCAAGAACGAATCAGTGGATTTTCACTAATTTTCACTTAATATTCACAAATAGTCACAGTTTTAACAACACTGGAATTAAATTGGAAAGAATAACGTGGAAATAAATATTCTCCAGTAAAAGACAAATAAATACGTTTTTTTCTGGTTGTAAACAATAATTATTGAATGAAACAATAAATATTATAATAGAAAAATAGTTTTAATTTCTTATGTTTTCATACATTCATTTTTAAAGATTCTGCAATTTTCATATTAAAATTTTCGTAATTAGTTATCGATCACACTTAAGTATTATTATTATGAATTATGAATTATGTTATTAAAATGTTGAAGATTTCAATCTTCTAAAATCGCATTATATACGTCTCACTTTCTACGTTGATTTAAAAGTCATTACAACAATACAACCACTTTACTAAATCATAGTATCGCAAAAAATATTATATCAAACCTTATTGCCAAATTTCGGGCGTTTGGAAGATCTGTTGGGCCCGCAAAAGAATATTTTACAAATCATTCCACGGGAGACTCCAACGTTCGATCAAGCGAGTAACCCGCTGCTTGTTTGTTAATAAATTACAATAATACGTTCAGGTAATTATATAAGAAAAAATTCTAAGCTCCTAAACTCTAACAAGAGAGCGCTTTGGCGATTATGAAGACATGTAAGCATATGACTGTCTGCCTGTTTGTATCCAGTGGAAGAGCTAAAATATTAAAATATTCAATTTTTTTATAGAAACAAAGCCGTAAAAGAAAACCAAATTAAGTTTGCCAAGACAAGAAGAACAACTTTTTATAAACATAAACTTTTCGAGTAATTAATACCCTTCAAGAACGAATCAGTGGATTTTCACTAATTTTCACTTAATATTCACAAATAGTCACAGTTTTAACAACACTGGAATTAAATTGGAAAGAATAACGTGGAAATAAATATTCTCCAGTAAAAGACAAATAAATACGTTTTTTTCTGGTTGTAAACAATAATTATTGAATGAAACAATAAATATTATAATAGAAAAATAGTTTTAATTTCTTATGTTTTCATACATTCATTTTTAAAGATTCTGCAATTTTCATATTAAAATTTTCGTAATTAGTTATCGATCACACTTAAGTATTATTATTATGAATTATGAATTATGTTATTAAAATGTTGAAGATTTCAATCTTCTAAAATCGCATTATATACGTCTCACTTTCTACATTGGTATATAGGTCATTACAACAATACAACCACTTAACTAAATCATAATATCGAAAAGAATGTTGTCTCAAACCTTATTACCAAATTTCGTGCGTTTGGAAGATCTATTGGGTCCGCAAAAGAATATTTTACATATCTTTCCACAGGAGACTCCAACGTTCGATCAAGCGAGTAACCCGCTGCACGTTTATTAATAAATTTAGCACCAACACCGAAAAATTTTCTAACTGTAAAATATCAATTGCATCTGTGTATATGTTTACTTATTTATAAAAATTTCAAGCTACAATTCCCTGAATATGCCAATTCTGGTACAAAAAATTAAAAAAAAGTTAAAAACCTTAGATATTTTATTTTTAATTTTTCATTGGGCTCAATATAGAACTATTATACATATTTAGCGTTGCTTTTAGTACAGTTCTATGAGTCGTTTAGATCAACTGATACGAGTAGGTAAGCTGAATAAGTTATAGCAAATAATATTATGGGTGAAACTTCCGCATGGTAAATAGTAAAACGGTAAAGTCGAATGAGATCGTTACCTGTTACTGATTATAGATTTAATTAATTTTTCGTCAATGTTTAGGCACCATGTGTCAGGACGATTTATCGCCGATGTGATGAGCAGCGTTCAAATTTGTTCTCGCTGTCGATTTAATACGTCAAAACGGATATGTTATCTTTCTGGTAACCGTTCCAAATGAACGGTGCTAATTGGAACAATTAGAACAGGAAGAGCTTTTCTTTGCCATTAGTACCATAGTATCTTTCTTTTGTCAATAATTAAAATTAAGCTTCAATAAGCATTTAGTTTTATGCCATTTCGAAGGTTAACACCATTTTAAAAGGTCACTGATAATTTGGTGTTTGTAAACATTTAAATTTTTGGCAGGTATCAGTTTTGATAGAGTACACCAAACTGAGAGAACCATTAGCAAACAATCGTAATTTTTTCTGCAAAAAAACCGCATAGTCATAAGCTAGCTAGTCATTAAAGTTTGATACCTTTCAGTGTAGTTTCAATAATTTCTTTACAATGGTTTTTACAAATTTTTTATAACCGCTTTACATTAAGATCACATCTGCCATGTTGTTTTACTGTAACTATCTTCACGAGTTAAAGAACAGTATCTACATTTTTCAGAAGAAAATGCTGCTGACTTCAGTAATCTCGAATTTCAAGGCAAGTTAAATAGTCACTAAATACGGTAGAAACAAATTGACTTGCTGTAAGCATTACAGAATAAATTAATACATCAAATATTAATGTGAAAATTCATTTTCCATTTATACCAACCATAAATTACGTCAATTTAATGAGGAAAATTTTTTTACTGTTGTTACACCCTTGCAGGTGAATCTAACCCGGAACCTTTCGCTTTACGCTTTGGCCACTAGGCCAAGAGAGATGACAACACCAACAATGGTAAACCGTAACCAAAGGTCACAGATCTGTCTCTAATTGTGGTGCGTAAAGCCAAATGTCCCGGGTTCAATTCCCGGCGAGGGTGTGACAACAGCAACATATTTTTTCTCATTAACTTGGGGTAATTTATGATTGGTATAAATGGAACATGAATTTTCACATTACTATTTGATATATTAACCGCTATTAAATATCAAAGTGATTCATATATATAGTATAATTGAAATGTTATATGCGTATGTACTAAATTTCTTATCTGAAAAGTCAATACGGACAGCATTAAAAAATGATGAAATAATTCAGTATCCAACACATTTCGTTTGTCTTGTTGCATACCATGTACAAACATAAATTGGTTAATGAGAACTAATTACAGAACTTTAAAAATGAAAATTTTTACAGTAGCTTCAAGTGCATTTTATTTTTATTATTACTGACGGTGTTCGGATTTAAATATTTATAATACTTTCGTATCTTCATCAGGTCGCGTCTGTTACTTATTAGAATCGCATAAGATATTCTAAATTGTTCTCATCTCACATATGCACTAGGTCATATGTTGTGATTTGCAAACAGCACCAAAGACTCTACTGTGTCGGACTAGAACAACAAAGCATCGTTTGTTCCGATTTTGTGCATTCATCCTGTACTTTATTTAGTGTCTAATTTTTGTGAGAAAAGAGAAATCGACCGGCTGACTGACGGTCAAAAGCCGGACATTGAAGAATGCAAATGCGTTGGATATTCGCTAATCGAATACTTTTAACAGTTAACCTTTCAAAACTGCATGGGTTTTTTCAGAATTATGATTCATCGATGTATCTAAATAACTGTATGGGTCGCAATAAAATTTTAATTTATTGACTAGCTAGCTG